ACTAGCATCTAGAGTTTCCTTTTCTTTCTGGGGGTCATCCTAGACCATTTCCCATCCTCTCCTAAAATTAGTTGTGACCATGTGACTGCGTTAAGCCCCTTGGAACTTGAGAGGGAAGTGATATAGCTGCTCTCTACATCCTCCATGTTTATTCTCCTGTCCCTCCATCCACATGTGTTGTGAATAAAAAATAAAACTTTGTTGAGTTTAGGCCACTGAGGCTTTTTTTGCCAGAGCCATTAGCTTAGCCCTGGCATATAATAAGCTCTCAATTAATATTAGCAGCTAAACTGGCCTAATCTCTCTGCACCTGTGTTCTTGTCTCTAGAACAGTGATAATAGGACCTACCCACAGGGTTGTAAGGGGTAAAAGAAATGATGGATTATTTAACTTACTGGCTTAACTTCTCTTCAACCACAGTTATTTCATCTAAATACTATAAACTGGGTCTTCATTACCTTTTTTCTTAAAGCGAGATTATCCATAATAAAGCCTCTTGCAGGTTTTAAAAGGATAACTTATAAATTTGAAGTATTTTAGGCCTAAAGCCAGTAATAATTATAGTTTTAATTCAGAATACTTCCAAAAATCCATTTGACTTAATGGGTTTCAAGACCTAAATATGTAGAGAGGGATGTTTCTAATTTGGAGGTTAGTTGATTTGTTTATTTTTAATTTTTAAAATTATGGAATACTTTAAGAATATAAAAAAGAAACCAGGATGGTGGCACACACCTAGATGCTAGTAATGCTAGTAATCCCAGCTACTCGGGAGACTGAGGCAGAAAGATTGCAAGTTCAAGGCCAGCCTGGGAAAATTAGTGAGACACTGTCTCAAAATAAAAATAAAAAGGACTAGGGATATGTAGCTCAGTAGAATAACATCCCTGGGTTCAATTCCCAGTAGAACCAAAGGAAAAAGAAATACAAAAAGTATTTCAACAGATATCTGTACTCCCCCAACTCAGTATGATCAATTCTTAACACTTTGTTATATTTGATCCATGTTTTTTTTTCTGAAGAAATATAGAAAAGAAAGTGTGCCTTTAAAGCATTTAGTGCAGTACCTCACTATATAAAGTGTCAGCAAGTCATTTCATTTTTTTTTTAATTTTAAATAAAATTTTTTTAAAATTTAAAGTAATTTTAGATTTACAGCAGATTTGTAAAGATAGCAGAGACATTTCTTGTGTATCATCCCCCAGCTTCTTACATATCTATGTTGTATTTCTCAAAGAAATTAACATTGGTATAACGCTATAAAAGCACAAACTTTATTCTGATTTCAGCAGTTTTTCCACTTATTTCTTTTTTTCTGTTGCAGGATTCAATCCAGGATACTATGTTGTATTTAGGCCAGCAAATGTTTAGCTATTCATCCCTTCATTCACCATATTGAGAACACAGCCAACTTTTTGTCCCAGACGGGGTGGTTCTGGGTAACAGATGATGCCAGGAGCCTCTGTACTATGTGCTATGATTATCATCAAAGCTATCATTTTTTAATATGTTTTTTTTCTTTCTTTTTGTGGTGCTGGAGATGGAACCTAGGGTCTCTCACATGTTAAGCACATGCTGTATCACTGAGTTAACCCCCAGCTATCATTTTTGAGAACTTATCAAGATATTGTGCAAAGCACTTTCTATAAGCCCTGTTCATTGCTAACAACAATCCTATATAGTGATTTTTTTAAAGATGGACACAATATCTTGACTTTATTTATTTTTATGTGGTGCTGAGGATCGAACCAAGTGCTTCACCCATGCGAGGCAAGCAATCTACCGCTGAGCTATGACTGCAGCCCCTATATAGTAATTATTAATTAATCCCATGTTATGGTTAGGGAATTGACCTATGGAGAGATTAACTGAGGTCACATATCTGTTGAGGGGCAGAAGTAGGATTTGAACCTAGGGAATCCGACTCCAAAGTCATTCTTTTATATACCACTTCTATCACAAGGTGCTCTAGAGAAGAGGGAGAGTGGCCATTGTCACAGACTTTTCCAGTGAGTGTGGCAGGCAGGAAGACATCCATGGGAGGTGCCCTCCTGGGAAATGTTTGGCTTTGCTGCCACCTGCCTCCTTCCTCATGGCTTTCCTCCCTTCTCCCCTGCAGCCCCAGACTCCAAGCCCAACCCACAGAACCTCAAGGAGGTGATGTGCTGAAACCCAGGCCCAGGGCCCAAAATGAGGCTCTGTCCTCGTCTCTAGACACCCCACCCCAGCCAGCAGAACAGGATGATGATTTAGAGACTGCCTTCTGGAGCCACTATTTTGGGTCCTGCTGACAGTGCATGAGCAAGAAATAGCAACAGGACTGAGTTGTCAGGCAAGGGAATCGGGGCTGGGTGGATTGGGCTGTTGAGCTGGGACTAGTTTTGTTTTTTTCTGGAGAATTATAGGCCCCTCCAACCTAAGGACATATTAAGAATCATTTCCCATCCCTAGAGTGGAGAAGAGCCCTGTCTGGTTGGGGCTGGACCCTGTGACTCTGCTCGGCACAGTGACACCAGCCCTTCTGCTGTCCTCCAGCTGGACACTTACACCCTCTGGAAAAGGAGCAGAGAGACCTGAGGCAGTCCACAGCCAGCTGGTATTGGGACTAAGTACCACGGAGAAGTGAGCAGAAGAGCTGGATGGGCAGTACTTGGCCTGAGCCAGGGTCCAGAGGTCCTGGAGCCAGGAAGAAGCATTCCAGCCCTGCTTCATTTCCCCGAGCCTCAGTTTGTTGGTCTGTAAAATGGAGATATACATGATATACATCTCTCCCAACCAAGGTAGTACACATTTATGTATGTAGATTAAGTATTTAAAAGGGATGAATAGAAGCTAAAACTCAGCCAGAGGTTGACTCACTCAGTTGGGCACCCTGACTTGGGGCTCTGTCTTATTGGGAGAAGGAAACACATTTTTCTTCACCAAGCTGATTGCTCAGAAGTGCTTCTGCCTGAGTTTGGTTTATTCAGAGAGGACATCTTTTCTAAATTTGCACAAAAGAAAAGTACTTGCCCTCCAATAGATGTCAGAAAAGGGCAAAAGCTCTTTAGTCCCCTAGGAGAGGACAGAGTTGGCCTCAGAGAGCCTTGGTGGGGAGTGAGGGGGAGGATCAAAGGGGCCACAAGAGTGATAAAATATGCTGGGAACAGGGTGTCCTGGTAAGATACTGCATGCAGGAAGAACTGGGAGCAGAGGCGGTACCTTCCTAACAGTCCTAGGGCCTGTTAGGATCCACTTCCCTTCATGGCCTCTGGAGAGATGGACAAGTGGCTACAACTACTCATTCAGGGATCCACAGAGCCATACTTGAATGTATAATCATAGCCAGAGGAACCATAGGGCCATCGAGCTTAGGGAAGACACCAGGCAATTTTCATTTGGAGTGACAGGTGATGTGATAAGGGACAGATTGGTATTTTGGTAACCCACAGAGGGGCTACCAAGCTTGAGGGTGCTGGGAGGGATTCCCAGAAGTGACATCCAAAGTGTGACCTCAAGGAGAAACTGGAGTTAGCCCAGTAAAACAGGGCAAGGGTGGTGCACTGAGGTGGTGCAACCAAGATAAGAGAGAGGGAGGTGCATTCTGGAAACTTTACTGTTTCTTATTTGCGTAGTATGTATAGGAACAGAGTTTCAACATGGTGGAGATATAAGAAGGTCTCAGGTGATGAAGTGCTTTTATAATCTGGCAAGGTTTGTACTTTGAGAATTTTAAGTGGAAGGGTCATGTGATCAGTAAGATGTCTGCCTTGGAGGGGCAGGGCTGGAGCCAGAGAGACCCCTGCAGGGTGCAGCTGGAACTCTGGTGGTCACCAGGAAGAGGAGCTAAGTGGCAAATCCAGGGAGCATTTAGAAGTCCAGGATGACACTTGTCACCTATTTGGCTATAAGAACCTTTCACTGAATTAGGAACCTAGGAAGAGGTGTGGGTCTGGGTGCATGGTGATGGAAAGCCAGCTGAGTTGAAAGTTCAGTTGTAATATTGAGATGTGGATGGTCATTGGGATGCAGAGATTTTGAGCTCAGGAAAGAGAATTGGGCCATATATGTCTGGGATCAGTAGTCTAGAGATGCTCACTGAGGTCATAAGAGCAGAGGATCCCCCAGGAGAGCGGAAACACCAAGGGAGACAAGAGGCAGAGAATAGCACCCTGAGAAACCTTGACATTCGAGGGTCCGCCAGAACAGGTAAGGGATAAATAGGAGCAACCAGAGAGGAAGAAGCAAAGCCAGCCTATTTAAACCTCCTAAGTACCTGAGCATGTATCATTTGTAAGTGGGAGCTGGAGAGGGGCTTTCAATAGTGCTTTATTTTATTGTAGCATGAGAATTAATAAACTCAGAGCTAAATGTTTTGTTCCATCATACAACTGTTCTTCACCTAGAATTTCTGGAGTGTCTCCTCCCTAAGCCCATCTTCCTTCTCTTGTTTATTGTCTTCATTTTGAGGTATTTGTAATGCTAAGCAATCCTTTTTAAAGTGGAGTGTAATTGACTTGGTTCCAAAAGATGCTGTTTGTGCTCAGCAAGTGTTGGGGGATTTTTTTTTTTGTTTTGTGGTGCCGGTGATCTAACCCATGGCCTTGCACGTGCTAGACAAATGCTGTACCACTGAGCTATATTACCAGCCCTAACAGCACATTTCTATTATTGGCTTTGGGTAGGGTGGGCCAACAGGACACATGGAACATGTGAACACATGGAACTTTGGTCTTGATCAGACAACGCAACCCTAGGGTGAGGGTATGAGAAGGACAAGATAGGAAGAAGTTATCTAAGCCTCAGCACTTGTACCCTGACTCCTCTGTATTGCATCCAGGGTCAACATCACCAACCAGTCCTCACCTGCCCTCCTTCCTCATTAAGCCTTGGCACGGACTCTCACTCTTTTCTTCTCCAGGCTGCCATCATGCTGAAACACAGTTGGCAAGCTCTCTGGAACCTCCTGGCCCTTGCAGAGTAAGCCATTTTCTCACAAATCACCAGAAGGTCTCTTATCTTTATTCTGATGAACGTTTTATTATAGAGACAGACTGAATTCTCTTTTGCATAAAGAATCTCTGATTGGGTTGGGGAATCCACCTGCTAAAGGTCACCACCCAGCTCTCCCTGCCCCTGCCTCAGCTAAGCCCCTACTTGCTGTTTACATCTCAGGGTCTCTGGAAACAGCAGAGGCTGCCATCCCCAGGTCTAGGCTAGTCAGGTTGGGCTATGCTGGATGGAGAGCCAGGGCTCTGGGCTGCTTGTCAGGTCATTAGCCGCCCCGTCTCCCGCCCTAGCCGGTTGTCCAGAACCTGGAGCTGCCGGAGGAAGCCTGAATTGGGGCAAATATCTCGGTGGGCCTGCACCGTCTGGATGGCCTCTACCAGTGTCATGTTCTCGTAGATCATGAGGAAGGCCAGGACAAGTGTGGCGGAGCGGCTTACCCCCATGGCACAGTGTACCAGCACGCGGCCTGTGGGGAGACCCAAGCCAGGTGTCAGATGCCTATTCCTGAATCGCCTACCCCTTTAGAAAGAAGACACCCTTCGCCATCCTTTCAGCCCACCATCACAGCAGCTGGGACCCCTGTACAATGGGACAACTGAGGTCCAACAAGGGAAGAAGGATGGCTCAAAGTCAAATAGCAAGTCACGGCAGAGTTAAGGTTGGCAGCCGGGACTCCCTTCTGACCCAGAGTGCTTCCTCTGACATCTTTGCAACTCATCTGGAGGTGGAGGTTCCTGGACTCCTGGGGTCCCCTGAATTTGTGTCAGATTACAGGGGATGTCTACTTCCCCTCCCCCACACGCACCACAGTTCTGCCCTCTCACCTGCCCCTGCAGCTCTGTGCCAAAGCCTCATCTTAGAGAGGCCTGCTCAAGAACCTTTATAGGTCTTGTGCCTTCTGCCTAATGTCTGGTCTCTTCCTGAGGCATGTGGTTATGCTGATGACCACAGCAGATTTTAGTTATGTCTGACACTGTTCCAGGGTGTCTCTGAAGGGGACACTAAATGGTAGTAGCTATTTGCTTCATAGTGTAGGAGGATTGGTGATGGGGTTTGTGCTCCCCACCCATCAGTGCTATTGGAGAAATGGATAGCCTAACCCCCAACCCCACCCAACTCCTTCCCCAGAAGCTCACCTCGGGGAGTATTGAGGGCAGTTCGGATATATTGAGCAACAGGCAGAAAGTAGACACTGAGGTCAAAGAAGGGGTTATCATCAGCCTCGATGCCATAGTACTCCAAGGGCATTCCGTGGTAGAACTTGGCACCTGTGTCCACTTGAAACTTGCCTGCAGCAACATTCACAACATGGGTAATACCCATCTGGATCAGTTGGCTCTTGTCCCGGGCAGCATACCTGGAGGGGGTATAAGCAGGTAGATCTCACTGGGTTAACTCTAGCTGGGTTGGAACTTGCCCTTCACTTGCTGTTTTCCTCCAAGGATAGAGATGGGAACTGGTGAACTGCCCTAGTAGAGGGACATCTATAGTTGAAATTGAACACTCTCTTTCATTCAGGGTAACTTTTTTTTTTTTTAATTTTTAATTTTTAATTTTTTATCATTCAGGGTAACTTTTTAAAAAAATATTTGTAGTTAAGATGGATATAATACCTTTATTTATTTATTTATTTATATGTGGTGCTGAGGATCAAATCCAGTGCCTCACATGTGCTAGGCAAGCGCTCTACCACTGAGCCATAATCCCAGCCCCCCAGGGTAACTTTTCTGAAGGGCAATGGGCTATACACATCAAAGGCCTTAGAAATGTGCTGGGCGCAGTGGCACACCCCTGTAATCCCAGCTGCTTGGGAGGCTGAGGCAGGAGGATCGCAAATTTAAAGTCAGCCTCAGCAAAAGCGAGGCAGGTGCTAAGCAACTCAGTGAGACCCTGTCTCTAGATAAAATACAAAATAGGGCTGGGAGGTGACTCAGTGGTCTAGTACCCCTGAGTTCAATCCCCACCCAACCCCCAAAAAAGCTTTAGAAATGTACATATACTTGTCCCTAGCAATTCTCCTTCTAGGCATGTAATAAAAGGAAGAATTCAGAAAGTGCCCACAAATATATGTACACTGAATCTAGGGATATTTAAGATAGTGAAAAATTAAGGGAAAAAAAACTACTGAGAATCCTATAATAGGATATTAAGTTCTCTCTTATCTGAAGTTTTGCTTCACACGGTTTCATTTGCCCACAGTCAACCATGGTCCAAAAACATTAAATGGTCAATTCCAGAAATAAACAATTCATAAATTTTAAATTTTGCACTGTTCTGAGGAGTGAATGAAATCTTGCACTATCCTGCTCAGGATGTGAATCATTCTTTTGTCCAGTGTATCCACAGTGTATATGCTATCCACCCCTTGTCATCACATAGTTATCTGGGCAATTAGATTGACTGTCATTCTATTGTACTTGTATTCATGAACCTTTACTTTAGTTAATATAGTAATTCTCCTATTTTGTTTTAGTTGTTACTCTCTTACTGTTCCTAATTTATAAATGAAACTTTCCATATATATATATATATATATATATATATGAATAGGTAAAAAAACAGAAGATACATAGGGTTTGGTTCTATCTTCAGTTTCAGGTATCCACTGGGGGTCTTGGTACATATCCCCCACCGCAGAAAAAGGGGACTACTGTGTATCTAAATGATGAAATGCTATACAACCCTAAACTGTGGTAGATGTAGGCAAATAAGGAAAGGTGTTTATGCTATATCAAGAACCTGTGGGGCTGTGTTGTGGCTCAGTGGTAGAGTGTGTGCCTAGCATGTGTGAGGTCCTGGGTATTGTTTCCAAATACAACTAAAAAAAAAATAAATATATAAAAAAAGAACCTGTGAAAGTATAGAGTACAAAGCAGAATGTTAACATTTCTTAAAAATATGTACTATCATTTCATTTTAAAAGCTTTCTGTATAAAGCAGATCACAGAGCTGTATTATAAAGCAATAGCCATTTTTATAAAAAAAGAACTATGAAAAAGAATGTATATGTGTTTGCATTTTTTTTTTAAAGGTTCTTTGTGTGTGTGTGTGTGTGTGTTGAGAGCCACAGCCGAAGGGGCCCCAGCAAACTTCCAGCTGCCAGCTGATGATTGGCTCACAGAGGCCCCAGCAACATCTAGCTGATTGGCTCCTCTGCGGTGATGCTCATTGGGCTGTTTCCCTGCCCTTTCAGACCACGGAGCTGCTCATTGGGGGACTTTTTTGGCTCCGCCCACGTGAACCCAGCCAATCCCTCAAGAGCAGGAGGATTGTGGGAGGTGGAGAGAGAGGCTTGGGTTGGAGAGAGAGGCTTGTGGAAAGCCTGTGTTGGCAGTTGGGGCTCTGAGGGTTTTTCCTGAGAGGCTGTTTTGTTTGGCGTGTGTGGTTCTAAAAATAAAGTTAGTTTCTTTTGACAAGTGGCTCCTGATTGTGCCCAGCCAGACTGCGGCATGTGTGTGTGTGCGTTTGCATTTTTAAAGCCTATAAGGATTATATCTGTGTGGGAGAAGGAATACCATATTTGCCATATTGTTAAGATATTAATCTGTATTTTCCAAATATTAAGGAAAATTTCTAAATATAAATATTTGGTCCATATTTTTGAAAAAAACATTTTGTTTTGGTACTGGAGTTTGAACCCAAAAGTACTTAATATCTGAGCCACATCCCCAGCCCTTTTTAATATTTTATTTGGAGACAAGTTCTCACTGAGTTGCTAAGTGCTTTGCTAATATGCTGAGGCTGGCTTGAACTTCCAGTCCTCCTGTCTCGGCTTCCTGAGCTGCTGAGATTACAGGTGTACATCACTGCACCTGGCCATATTTTCAAATATTTCAGAAAACTTTTAGGAAAAATAACTCTCAATTCTATTCTCTTATATACAACTTAGAGAAAGTTATGTGTTTTTATAGGATTCATGTTACTTAAATATTCCTAGGATCATTGTTCATAATTGCCAAAAAGTGGAAATAATTCAAATGTCCACATGCAATATAATGGATAAATTGTGTTATAATCATACAGTGGAATACTGCACAGCAATAAAAAATAAATGAACTGCAGCTACCCATAAAACATGAGTGTCTCTCACAATTTTAAGCAAATCATTGCCAACCACAAAATATACACAATATGATTTGTGTAACTTTAAAAGACAGGCAAGGGGCTGGGGTTGTGGCTCAGTGGTGGAGCGTTTGCCTAGCACAAGCGAGGCCCTGGGTTCAATCCTCAGCACCATATAAAAATAAATAAGTAAAATAAAGGTATTTTGTCCAACTACAACTAAAAAATAATTTTAAAAAAAGGCAAAAGACAAACCCATGTTGTTTAGGTACATAGGTGGTAAAACTTGAAAGAAAAACAAGGACATGTTGATTTTGACACTTAGAGAGTGGTTATCCCCTGGGAAAGAGAAAAGTTAGAAGGATTCAGTAGGGGCATCTGGGGCACAAGAAATGTCCAATTTCTTGAACATGTGTGTTCTGTGCACTTTTCTTATGTGAGTTCTATTTCCACAGTTAAGAGTTATAATAATTTAAGAGGAAAGAAAAACATGTAAAGAGATATGGTAGGAAGCAGAGGGTGCCACCTCTGCCCAGGAGCACTCTGGGAGAGGCTTGTTTTCCACTCTGGGAGAGACTTCACACCCTTCTGCCACCTCCACCAGCCATGTAGGTCTTACTCACGCATCTCCCAAGAAGAGGTTGGGCCAGACCTCATTGATATGGTTCAACATGGTGGCCCGGCGGACCCACAGCAAGCGCTGCAGCGAGGCCAGCGTGGGTGGTGAATAGGGAGATGCCCGGACTGCCCCGTGGATCTTGGGCCTCCGGAGATCCTGCTTCTGCAGTGAGTTCATCCTGAAATAGAGTAGACACCCCAATGCTGGAGACAGGCTCCCCAAGGTGGGTCCTGCGGACAGGGAGTTCTGTGGTGCAGGCCAGGTGCCTTTGGGATGCTGTGGGAAGGGCCTCCGCTGTTTGGAATGAGCTTATTAACCAGCTCAGCGGGGCTGGGACCTAGACCCTTCTCCCCCAGGAACAAGGGGAACTAGAACTTCCTGATCATTGCTGAGCAGACCTCACCCCTGCCCTTTTCTGAGGCTGTTGGGTGTTAGAAGCTTCGGCCTTTAGGCCTTCAGGTTCCCTTTTTATGACGCTAGCCAGTGTCAATCCCACCCCTTAAATGTCTTGTCAGTTTGTACCTTATAGGAATAGGAACTCCAGAAGGCTACAGTTTTCAGAGGGCACCCAACCTGGGTGGCTCATCTCAAGCCCCCACCCCTGAACTTCCAGGGCTGGTCCCACTTGGAGGTCCTTGAGATCAGAGTCCCCTCCAGTATGAGAGTCAGGGGCTGTGGACTGATATTCATGGGCATTTCCATATTGAATGCCTCTTCTAAGTCTAATGCCTCCCTTATGGTAGGTCCCTATTTCACCTAGAAGGATGCAGAAGCTCAGAGTGTTTTTCTAAGTGGCACCCAACCCTATGTGGCTGATGAGCAGCTGGGCAGGGGTTTCAGTCCAGTTCTGTGCACCTTCAGTTCCACCCCAAGCCTTTCAATTGCCATCTTGGGGGATTCCAGAGTGATCCCTAACCCAGTGGTCTCCTCAGAGGAGCCTGGGTGTCGCTGAGCTACACATCTGCCTCCAGGCTCCGGGCTTTTCCTCCTTACCCCCAAGACTCAGGCCAGTGCAGCTCGGCAGGCCTCACCCGAGTGGGGTGGGTTGTGTCAGGAGTCAGCTGGCTCAGGGTGTCTGGGACCCTGCAGATCTGGGGCATCAGTGGCACCAGAACCTGAGCCTGATGCTGTGATGGGAAGGAGGGCCTTTCTTGGCCAAGTGTCCCTGATCCCCTCAACCAGTAACTAGGGAAGGTGCAAACTGGGAGGAACACCTTTTCCCTGTTGTAAGTGGTGGCATGACTAGAGAGAGAAATGGGCACCCAGGAGGCCACCGGCTTGGCCAGGCTCACCCAGCGGGTGGCTGGAGGACAAGGCGGAAGTGAAGACCCAGTTTTTCCCCTCATCTCCCACTGTGACCTCTCAAGGCAGGCTGAGTGGCCTGCCACCTACCTAGGGCATGGTCTGAGACCGGGAATGGGGGACTGGGTGCAGGGGCAGGACTCAGCATGTGAACGGAATAGGGCTAATGTAGATTCCATCCAGAACACAAGCGCTGTGAAGCGGCTAGAATTCCAGACAGGGCCTTGGAGCCCATGGGGGTGGGGCTGAGAGGAGGAGTATACTCGGCATTGGGGACTGAAGCAGCAGCCTTTCCAAACCCCAGGGCCCCTACCACCTTGGCATCTCTGGGAGAGAAAGCTCTTAGCCCTGTGTGGTTCTGAAGATGGGAGGCCACCTGAGAATGGTGGCAAGAGAACTTTAGAGGGAAGGAGGAGAGACTGGCTTCCCTTACAAATCTGCAAATGACTGAGTCTGTGGTCCTGAGCGGGAACAATTCTTCCCTGGTGTCTGGGCCACTGTTTCTCTTTATCATACCAAAGATCCTGGCATTGCCTGATTTCTCAGAATTCTCTGGGGTTCTGTTCCGAGCAAGAGAGAGGTCTGTGTATGAAGTAAGCACAGGGCAGAGGGTAGTGTAGTATGTTGGGGTGAAGGAGGACCTAGATTCTGGAGGCATCCGACAGCAGCACTAGTCTGTAGCCACCAGGTGGGGCTGCTCTAGCGCCTGGCAGGACCAGATGGAGCTTTGAGAACCTGGCAAGAGTCGACCCAGGCCTGCTGAATTTGGCGTGGGGTAAGACCGCCCCCCAGTGGCCAGTGGGTGCTGTGCAGCCCAGTTGTGCTGGAGAGCAGGTAGCCAGACTTTGGCTGTGAGGAACTGGATCTGGTTCCTCTTGGAGTCTCCAGAGGGATCAGGGATCAGAGGCTGCTACAGCCCAGCCCAGGTCTCAGATACCTAAGAGACCCCAGCCCAGTTCTGGAGAATGGAGCCTTTCTTTGGCCTTAAGGCTACTCTTGGTCAGGTCCCTCCTAGGGCCTCACTCCTGATACTCAGGATATACCCCCACCCATCCACTGTCCCCCTGGGGTGAACAGTCCACCTTGTCAGAGTCAGGCCCAGCTGCCCATATGGTGACCTCAGGCTCCCAAAGGAAGGGCAGTCTGTGGCTTCAGCTCCCCTGGTTTCTGCTGCCTTCAGCCCTGGATGGCAGAGGGTCCTGCCTGGTAGTACCATGTTTCCTCGACCATAGCAGAGTGAAGCTCTTGTACCTCCCTGCTGCTCACCCTCTCTGCCTCCTCCTTTTCCCAAGGGGGGGGCACAGGCTGGGTGGGACTAGAGATCACAGGACAGGACAGTAAGGGGCTAGGGAATGAAGCCCCCAGGAGGGAGGGAGGCAGCTGCCAGAGGTGGGCTGCTGTGGGTTCTGGGCCCATCATGCAGCTTGGAGGAGGACAGACCTGGGTAGAATTCTCTGGTCTTCCACTTGTGTCTATGTGGCCTTCTCTGAGCCATTATCTTTCATGAGACTGTTGTAAGAATCCCGTGAAATCATAAATGTAAAGCATCTCTCACAGGGTCTGCCTTGTGAGAGATGCCCAATAAATGGTGCATTTTATTCTAATTATCATTACTATAGTTACTCTTACCCATTCAGGCCTAAGCTGTATCCTAGGCAGTGGACCACTTCCCTTTGGGGGTTGAGGTTGGTCTTTATCTCTTTGTGTTTATTTATTCAGGATTAATTACCATATTTGTCACTTACTAATAAAGGGCATACTGTGTACCAAACACAGCTAAGAGCTTATATTTTCTCACTAAATCTTCATAGTACCCTTATAAAGCCAGTAATATTATCACTCCCATTTTACAGATGAGAAAACTGAGGCTTTGAGGTTAAGTAAGATCATATAGCCAATTGATGAGGGAGTCAGAATTCAAGCCCGGGTCTTTCTGACTGTCCTATGGTCTATCTCTGCCTTTATCCCAGACCCACTTGGTCCCTCAATCCAGCCTCCATCCTTGCTTGACAACCCTGTGCCCTGAACCCTGTTACCCAGCATGCTCAGGGCCCCCCTGAATTGGGAGCACTCACCCACCTGAGGGGGTGTCCCACGCAGGCTGTGGTCTTCTCTGACAGGCGATTTGTGCTGCCAGCTTCCAGCCGCCTGTCTCTGCACATTTGATGCTGTTTCTATTTTTTGATTTGAGTTTAATTATAAAGCATGCGGTCTGCTCCCCCCCCTTCTAACCTCCCCCTGCCACTCCCAACTGGTCCACTAGTCTCACAGCAGGTCAGTGCCAAGCCCAGCCAGGCACCTCCCCCAAGCCTAGGCCTAGGAACCAGCCCTGGCCCTGCTGGGAGCAGAGGCAGCTCAGCTGAGGTCTGCCTGCGTTTGTGTGAATGTGTATCAGGATGACAGGACAGGAAGGGGAAGATCAAACCAACCATCTTAGAAGCTCCCTCTGAGGCCTGGGGTTGTGATCTCTGGAAGAGCACTTGCCTAGCACATATGAGGCCCTGGGCTTGATCCCCAGCACCACCAAAAAAAGAAGGAAAAAATAAATAAAAGCTCCCTTGGCCTTCATGGTCAGTGTGGAGCAAGGGCCCAAAGTGGGAGCTGGTAGGACGTACGGAGGAGGACGGAGACTAATCAAAAGTATGCGTCAGCTGGAGGCATTGCCAGCACCAGCAACCCTTAGGTGGGGGCTGGTGAGGATGGAACTGATTCAGGAGGCAGATCTGGCAGACTCAAGCTGAGGGTGGCAGCACTAGCAGATAGACAAGTGTAAGTGGGCTACAGAGCAGGTCTGTACACCAACCCTGTTCTGCTTTATCCAGAAACTGCTCCCACCCTTTGCCATCCTCTCCTTCCCTTGAAGACTATCCCTGGACAGACTCGCTGTCCCATAAGGTCTGTGAGATGGTCTTCAGGTCCCTCCCAAGACTGGTCAGTTAGAGACCTTGGATTTAGGCCTATTAGGAACTTTCCTTGTTATCCAGAGACCCTCATCATACACGCATACCTTGAAACTCATCCCCACTCCTGCTCCCAGACCCCCCCCCCCACACACACACACGGATCCTGTCGGTATTTCCTAAGCACCGGGAGAGATGGGGGAGGGGTGGCGGTGGCCCTCTTCCACTGCCTTCTCTCCAGGGAACTTGGGATCCCTGGCCAAGCAATCTCAGGGCTTGGCTAACAAGGCAGCCTACTCCCACCTGTAGGGACTGAAGCCAGTGACCAAGATGGGGTGAGGGATACAGGAGGAAGTAGATGGAGTGGCAGACTCGAGGATTGATCCCACGCTGGGCTCTTAGCATCTTCTTGGCATCCACATGGGCCACAGCCTCCAAAAGCACCAGCAGGGTCAGTGCCAGAGCCGCAAAGTGGCAGAGCCCTGTGGCAGGCAGTAAGGACAGACTCTGCAGAGAGAGACATGCTTCATATTACAGGCAGATACACCAAGGTCCAGGCTGGCTGGGACTTGTTAGGACAGTGGCAAGAGCTGTCACCTAAACTGCTTCTGTCTTGAGACCTATGTGCAAGATCAAGTGGGTGTGGGTGAGAAGGATGAGGTAGCCTTGGCATTCAAGGTTTATGGAGAGAGAGGACCTCCCTCTGCAGCCCCCTCATCCTCAGGGGCCCAAACCCCAGAGCTGCTGGTTACAGCTGCCGGGGCTATGCACTTCACAACTCCTAGGGGTTCCAGTGACACATTTTGATAAATGGTACCTCTATAAGTTGTGCAGTGCTACAGCCCTGCTCAAACAGCTCCCCCAAACCAGCTGCCTGATGGGCAGGATGCTGAATTAGCGGTCAGGGTTTCTAAGAATCCTGAGAAAGTGGGGTGATTGGGCATGATCTGCTGATCTTCCAGGTTCTTAAATCCTGTCTGAGGAGAGAGCAGGCAGGGAACGTGCCATTCCCAAGGGCTCATATCCCCTTTTGGCTTCCCAGTCCACAGGATGTCATGGGGGAGGTGAAGGACCGATCAGCTTGGTTGTGCATCTGCTTTGGTGGGATTTGATGAGTCACCATTCAAGGCAGGACAAAACAGGCTGGAGCAGGTAGGAAGGCCTCACCTCTTCCATGTAATGCTTACTACCACCTTCTTTCCTTGTCTTTCTCCACTTTCTGGGGCTTGAAGAATTGGGGTGAACTGAGGATGACAGGGCAGGGGTCCTATAGGAGGACTACCTGCCTGGCTCCAGTGAGATCTTGAATGGGCAAGAGGAGCCCTGAGGCGTGAGGAGCATGGCAGGCCCCCTGTCACAATTTCCAGCCACACATAGCCCTGTATTCTTTGCCCAGGCCCTTACGTGACTTCTCATTGCCAATGGCACCTGTGTCTTCATGACTGTGTCCTCCATACCTGGCTTCTTAGCTCCGGCTTGTGCCCCGCAGTTTCTTGTCCAGCTGGCAGAGCTGGTGGAGGAAGCCGCGGTTGGGGAAGATCCACCGGTGTTCCCTCACAGTGATCACTGCCTGACGCAGGGACAGCTGCTGGTGCAGCATGAGGTAGGCCAGGACCAGTGTGGCAGAGCGGCTCACACCCACCACACAGTGCACGAGGACTTTGGCTGAGGGAGACATCCTGGTAAAAGACCCTTTCCCACCAGCCATCCCATCCAGGCCTGGGGTGGAGACCCTCGTTCCATTCCCTACCCTGCCTTGGGTGCACTCTGGAACCCCAGGCAAGTCACTCAGCCATCATGGATCTCAGTTTCCTGATTTTTCAAATGGGTAACAACACCTATTTGGCCTATCCTTGGGATGCAGTCCAAATTCTTAACATGACTTACAAGACCATCTGAGAGCTGGCCCTTCCTGACAACTGCAGCCTTATCTCAAGATGAACCTATCCCAACCCTCATCTCTAGGAACACAGGGTAAGGAACACAGTTCCTTGAAACTGTCATGGTCTCTGACCTCCAGCCTTAAGCATGTGTTGTTCCTACTATTTTGAAAAATGTTCCTGTTGATCTTGGTCTGACTAACTTCTACTATTCATTCATCAAGTTTCAGCTGATACATGGTTTCCTTCTAAGGGCTTTCCTGATCACTCAAGGTATTGCTTGAATCATAGAGCAGCTCATCATTTTTGCATGTGGCCCAATGAATGTCCTTGTAAAGGGAAGTCCCCCACCTCCCTGGTCCTCTGGGCTGGCCACCCCTGCCCTGTGTTCCCATAGCACTTCACATTTGCACTCCCACATCAGTAGCACTCACAATACTTCACAATTTGACTGGCAGGTTTCATGAGGGGAGGGACCCTGCCTTGTTCAAGTCTGAATTCCCTGAATTTAGTTTAGTGTCTGGCACATAGAAGATATTCAATAAATAGCCGATGAATGAATAACAAAAGAATGTCAAAGTGCCTTGGGCATTTAAAAAAGAGTGATATGAGCTGTCATTTTGTCATTCCCATCACACAGATGAAGAAACTGAAGTCTAGAGAGGGACACTGGCTTGCCCAGTGTCATATAGCAGGAGGCACAGCTGTCTTTCAGGATGAACACAAAGCAGGAGCTCCTGCCTCTCCAGGCTTCTTTATTGTAACCTATGCCGTCCCACCCCGACCCCAAATACACACATTTGAAAGTTCTTTAGGGCAGACACATAAGGTACCAAATTTTCCCAAGGCTAAGTGTTGCAGAGAAAGAATCATTCTGCTGTTTGTGAGACCTGGATTCCGGCCCGAGAGCTCCTTTGAACTCAAGGCATGGCCTTCAATTTTAGCCTCAGTTTCCCCATATGTGAAGCAATGGTTTTAGGTAAAATGTTGGAGCACTAAATGGAAGATTTCTAAAAACCAGGGATGGGAGCATATTGATGATTGAGGGGAAATGGGCATCCTCCCCTTGAATGAGCAGGGTGGGATATGGGTTCTGGCCCCAAGTCCTACCCCCAGGTGTGCTGAGGGCACGGTGGATGAAGTCAGCTGCAGAGGAGAAGTAGGTGCTGATGTCAAAATCAGGGAGGTCGTGGGCTGGCACCCCCAGGTAGCTCACACTGCTGCCGTAGAAATCAGGGCTGCCCTGACAGTAGAGGCCCCCATGGGCGGCGTTCAGCACGTGGGTGATGCCCAACTTCCACAGCTCAAAGCGGTTATTTGCCGTGGCCCTGAGGAGGGGGGGGAGCAGGAAGGGGGCTGGATGCTGGCTGAGCTGTGGGGTCCAAGAAGGAGGCTTTGCATGGCTCCCTGTTTCAAAGGATGAAACCCTAAGTGTTCAAAGGGAGCTAGAGCCCAGCCAGCCCCAGCTAGGGTCTGCTGCCCATGCCCCACCCCCAGAGCTTTCTGGTGGGAGAGTTGGTAGTGTCGGGTTATCTTTAGAACCTCTTGGCTTCCTCAGGCAATCTGCCCTTGGGCAGGGTAGGAAAGAAGGGATTGCTTTAGCCCTTCCTCTCCCTTCTTGCCCCACACCCTCCCACATACATCCGGTTTCTCTTGGTCATCGGTTTATACCTGCCTCTAATCTGCAAGTGTCTAGAAGTGACACCTTCCCTGATTCACCCTCAGTCAGATTTCTCCACCCACTCTATGTCCAAAAGAAGGAGGCTGGAATCAGAAAGGGGGATCTCTGACTACCGCATGTCATACCCCATATACTTTCCCCCAGTCCTCTGGCCAATTGTCCTGGATGTGCCAGAAGACTCCAGGACTTCTGGGAAGTTCCCTTTTTGCAGGTAGGGGCAATAAAAAGATAAAAGAAAAAATATATATATATATATATATATATATATATACACACTCCCCCTGGTGGCCATATCTGGTCACTGCATTGTCCCAGCAGGTGGGAGTTCTGGAGAAAGTCCCTGGCTTGGGGATGCTAAGAATAGAACTTTCCCCCTTATTTCCACACACACCCATGTAAGGTAAATTGTTTCTCCTTGTTGCCACCCTCACATCCCTCTACCAGTGACCACTCACGCATCTCCTATGAAAAGATTGGGCCAAACTTCATCCACACGGCTGCAAGAGGCCTTCCCTGCCCTGAGGAGCTCCTCTAGCTCCAGGACACTGGGGCAAGGCGTGGCTTCGGCATCTCCCTCCAGCTCTGGGAGCAAGGCCTCAGCCATGGGCCAGCCTGCCTACCCCTCTGCCTCTACACTCCTCTGCTTCTCCAGTGTTATTTCTCCTTCCCAGAGATTGGCAGGGACAGGTGGGACGGGAGTAAGTGACTCAGCAAGTCCCAGAGGCCTGTTTCTCCCAAGCTAGGCCCCACCCCCACACTCTTGAGAACACGGAATCAGATAGACCCCTGCAAATCACTACCTCCCTTAACCTCAGTTTCTTCATCTGTAAAATAAGGATAATCACATCTTTTATTGTTCCAAAGGTTACATGAAACAAAGGTTGTGCTATTTCTAACACATTGTAGATGCTTAGAAACAGTTTTTGAATTAATAGGTTTAGAGCCCTGCATAAGGCTTATTATTATTATTATTATTATTTGGTATGGGGGATTGAACTCAGGAACACTCGAGTACTGAGCGACATCCCCATCTCTGTTTTGTATTCTATTTAGAGACAGGGTCTCACTGAGTTGCTTTTTGATAGGCTGGGTTTGAACTCACCATCCTCCTGCCTCAGCCTCCCGAGCCGCTGGGATTATAGGTATGCACCACTGCGCCTGGCCAATAAGTCTAACTTGGTTCTGAGGACTAAGTTAAAACAGGTTGGAGAGAAGGTGGTTGGTTCTAAGGATGAATGATAGAAGAAACTTTGTAGGTCTGGGAGGGCCACAAACTGGGTGGGACCTGAATTTTGGATGGGCCTCTGGATTGTGGAGCTCAGGGCAGTTTTCTGAGTTGTAGTGTCAAGAGAAATGTGGGGAGGAGACATGGAGTACAGCATCGAAAGGGTACTCACAAGGTTTACAGGAGGTTTGAACAACAGTCCTGTAATGAAAATGGCCAGTTTTCTTCAAAAAAAGGTTGAAGGGGCCTTGTATATCAAAGAAAGAGAAGTGAACATTGCTCTAGACTTTAAGAGCCAAAGGGGCCTGTCATCAGAAATATTTTGAGGGTAGGAGGGAGATTCTTCTGCCTATCAGGGCTTTCAGCCCCAGAATAGAAACTGATAAAAGGTTGACCTGGTCAACTCCATTTTAAAACTCCATTTGAAACCTGCAGTCTCACCAGGCACACCTGCGAAGCCTTCCAGTATGGCCCTCAAGCACAAACAAGTCACTTCTCCCCACCCTGATAAGCTCATAGTGAAATCTCTGTCATGTTGTCCTCACCCCAATAAGGAGGAAAGGCAAGAAAATAAGGGTGGGGACCACCAGACCAGATGCTTTAACCCCAGGGCAAATGACATCACTGAGAAATCTGGTGGCAGCTGATAGGGATTGAAAGGGTGGTCACAAGCCCCAAAATTTAGTATGGAGCAAATGAACAGACATTCAGCTAGCTGACATTGAGCCCTCACGCTGGAGAGCCTGATGAGGATCTGGACTGACATCCCAACTCTTCTTATCGTTTGCCTGATCCTCTGCAACTTCCTCACCTTTCAAACTCTACAGCCACATCTTGAACCTGATGAGAGCCACGACTTCTCCCTACAACACTCTCCTCAACCGGCCATCAGCTCTACCCCAGGAGAAGCTGTTAGACCAGGACGCAAGAAAAGACCACTGACTCCAATTAAAATCAAATTAAAGCAAGCTTATTATTTCGACTGGCCGGGCTGCCTCTCCCTCCCAAAACAGCGGGAACAAGACAGCAAACCCCAGCTTTCCTGCAGCCCAGCTTTATAGCCCAGAAAGTTACACAAAGGGGGGGGGGGGTTACAGATAACAGAACTCTGACAAGCATCACACTAATGGTAGTTTACATTTTTTGCTGGCCCCAACATCAGAATTTATGAGGACCATTAGAGCCTCAGAGAGGGTCGTTATCTGGCCAGGGAAGGCCAAGATTTGTGAGGCATCACTAAAGTTTGAGAGAGGGCTGCTATCTGGTCAGAGAGCCAGGCATGGGTGAGTTCAAGGCACAGGCAGGCATTCCAAGCAGGTTCAGAATTTGCAGTAATTTATAGTAAAGCCAAAATTATCTTTTCATGGCTTTGTGGCGAGATGGCTCCCAATTTTAAGAAAAGATCAGGTTGGGTCTATCAAAGCCTGCCTTGGTTCCTGATCTGATAACCATGTCTGAGTGAGTGTGCATCTGCTGGACTTAGAGCCCAAGGCTTGAAACTTTTGATCTGACACCTGAACTTAGCACGCAGAGGGAATATCTGTCATGAGCCGGTCATGATTAAGTGTGTTTGCAGTGCTTAGAATTGTTTGCTGTGAATTGATTATGGCTATTGCAGTGCCTAGCATTAAGGATTGTCATTTTCTTGATTAAGAACCTATAGAATGAAATTGTATTGAGTGATTTGAGTGAATAAAGCATTGAAAAGGGCAGAAGCGTGTGGACATTCTTTATTTCTCCCCTTCGACTGCATAAGTCACACCTTTTGCCCATCTTGACAAGCTGCCAGAGCTGGTTGTTGGCAAAAGAGAGGAGATGTCTTGCCCTCCCTCGTGTGACTTCATAGGGACCCTGATGGGCCTTGGAGAGGTATGAGCTCTGTTGGGCATGTTCCCAGCTGCTCCTGGTCTTGAGTCCGACTTGAGGGTAAAGACAATTCCAGGGAATACCCTGGAAACAGTCTGCACTCCTGTCCACCTGGAGCATGCTCCCATCCCATTCAGTGTCAGAAAAACTGGTCTGGTACTGTATCGCGAGGCAAGGCCAAGAAGGATCTCGAGCCCAGGATGCAGCTGGCTTTAGATTTGGTTTCTGCCAAAGCTAGGGCTAGGTTGGGGGGGGGGGGGCTTCTCTTAGGGTGGGGTAGCATTGTAGAATGAGAATTTTGGTTGGTAGGTAGATTTAGATAAAATACCAGTTTGGGCACAGATTTACTGTGATATGTCAAGCAAATGATGTTTTTGGCCTTTCTGTGTTGTATGATCTACTTTTGTAGAGCTGAAACGAGGATTGAGATATTTATATGGCATTTGGCATAGACATTGTCAGTGAATAAAAGAGGTCTACGATAGCCATGATCATTGGGGGTTGGCTCTTGAAAAGGAGCTGGTCTTCTGCAAAGGAATCAGGATAACTTCCTCCGGATCCCCAACTCGGTTTACCAATCCCTTGGGTTCCTCCCTTAATCTACACCAGCCCTCTTTGGCGGCGGCCCTGACGCATGCGCTCTCAGGCTCCCCTGCAGCGTTTTCCCTTCTTTCTTCTCTCCGGTGGGCTGGAATCTCGCGTCCCTTCCGGTCTTGGCCACGCCCCTTCTCCGGTAGTGCTCCGCCTCCTGCCGGTAGTGCTCCGCCTCCCGAAGCAGTTCCGGTTCGGCACGGAGCAGCTGCCGGAGCGGCTGTGACGGAGCCGGAGCGATGCCTGCGCGCAGCCGCCACCGCTCCCGCCTCCACTCCGGCTCTCCGCCCCGGGTTCCGCCCCTGCCGCTTGAAGTGCTCCACTCCGGCGAGGCGCGAAGGGCCCGGGACTCCGACGGCGCCTCGGACGCCGACTCGGAGGCGGGTCGGGGAAGCCCGACTCCCATCGCGGAGGTGAGCTGGCGCTGAGGAGAGGGGAGACTGGGGGGCGCCTGCAGCCAAGGGTGAGTGAGGAGTCAGGGGTGGAGCCGGGGGCGTTGAGGGGCAGGGAGCCCGAGGGACCGCGGGGAGACGGTTGAGGGGGCCAAGAGAGTCCGCTCTAGAATGGAATCTGGAGGGAATGGAGGTTGTTGAGCCGACGGCCTGAAGGGGTGACGACGCCGGTGGCCGAGGGGCCGGTAGAGGCTGAGGCGCGAGAAGGACTGGAGGACGCGGAGAGGCTAGGGCTTGGAGCTGTTGAGAGCAGAGCACTGATGGAAGGAGTCCCCAGGAATGTGCACCCGGAGGAGGAGATGCTCAGGGCTTTGGTAGTAGGGAGAAGGGATCTCAGAAGCAGGCCTGGCCCGGGATTAACCCCAGGGCGAGGAAGAGGGAACCGTGTTGGAGTGATAGCCGACTGACCGGGGTGGGGACGGAGGTATTGGAGGGCAGGAGTTAGGTTTGAGTGGAAGAGGCTATTGGATGGAAAGTCATCTGGCCCAAAGGGTTGAGAGAAGGATTGAAAAGGAGAAGTGTGGTCAAGAAAGAAAAGGAGCCCTTGGGGATCTAATTTAGGACTTTGGCATTTTTACAAGTAGGTGTCTTTCAAGGCATCAAAGATCACTCGGGCAGTGTACTTGGATCATAGTGCTTTCTTTGTAGACAGTGGATCCTTTTAACAATCTGGAGTGGTAGGGGCGGTATTCACTGATTTGTCTGCAGGGCTGGGGGAAGGTAGTGCAAAGGAAGTGATGTTTTAAGAAGACTGAAAGGAGTGATTCTGAGGTATCATTTGGATTTCTTTTAACCGTAATGATGTACTTCTCTTTTTCTTTGTATTTCTTAAATAAGTTTAAATACCAGACAAGTTTAAATCCTGAAAAAAGAGATTTAATACATTAACTTTAAATTTTGAAAATTTAAACGTGAAAGAGGAATTTGGGTGTTTTGATTTTACAGTCCCTCAGTGTGAGTTGGTAACATTTTCCCAGCTTGGGATGACGTATGTCTTTACTACAGGGTAAAAATATGGTCAATTTAAGTATCAGGGTTAAGAAGGCACATAAAACTAGAAGTGAAATCATCACAGCCCCCGAGCCTACCAGATTTTCCTCTTGAAGATTACTTTTGACAGATTTGAAGGATTAATATTCTAGTACCATTTTGCAGATATTGTATGAATAATATTTCAATAGAGTAATCTAGGAAAATTAAAAAGCAAATTCTTGTAGTTGGCAGCTAATATAACTGGGATAGGTAGCATATATGCTTTTTATAGAAGATGTAGTATCAAAACCATAATTTAAAAGATCAGAACATTTTTGTAAAATTTATATTCACTCTAGAAGAAATAAATTAATTTCCTTTTTAAATTATTAAATTATAATGTGACTCCATGGGATCTTAGTTGGATTTTAGCTACGTGTCTCATGTAATGTTTTAAAACTTTTTATCTGATTAAAGATTTTGCAAGTTGTTGGCCAGTTTGAACTTTTAAAAAAGTATTTTCTGCTCTAAACAAGTATTTGCTATC